GTTATTTAAAAATTACAAAACTTGAAAAAACCGTACCGTATTTGGCATGGTGGGCCTGAAAGGGTTAAGCCAAACCCACCTACAGCCACAGCCACACTCACAGCCACAGCCACACCCCACACCCCACACCCACACCCACATCCACATTCCACACCCACACCCAACATATTTATTCTATGAAAATTCACAATCGAAACTATCAAAGTTATAGAGTACCTCTAAAATATTATTTTCCTATTTTCTTACCATTTACTCAAATGACTATGTTCCCCGTTCGATTATATTATTTTATTTAAAAAATGATTTTTCCAATACATTTTAATCTTTTTCATTTCATTATGTAACTTTTCATTATATATTCTTTTCTGTAATTTTTCAAATAACTATTTTCCCTCTTTTTATTATATTTTATTTTATTGTATATCCCTTTATATTATAATGCAGTGCCCTGAAGAGTGTTTCAATTTTTTTAAAATAAAATGTAACACGAAACGCGTCGTCGTTAAATAAAATCTGCATTATTTCTTATTAAATTTAATTCAAGCACATTACCAAAACAATTTTAAAATTTTATTTCTACTAAATAATCGATTGCTGAAAAGCAAAAGGTGCGAGTAGCAGATTAATTTATATTATTTAAAGATATAGATTAATCTGTTTTCAATTGATTAAATTCAATTAAGCTTAGAAATGTCATAACTAGTCAAATAGTGGTAGATCTAGAATTTTTGAGTTGTACTCAAGTTCAGAGCATGTGGCTCATATGAAACTTATAGAGTGTGATATTGGACCCAAATAATGAGATGTAGTCATAAACTTTTCGATTAGAGTTTGCAGAAAGAAATTTTTTGTTGTTGTCTCATCCTCCATATTTAGCCTTCAGTAGCATATTAATATTTTAGAATATAATTGTAATCTACATCAAGTTTTATCGTCAGATTTTAAATTTCGTCTAAAAATATACATTCACTGAAGAGTTGCAATGTTCTGAAGTTTTGGTCAAAGTAGCAATAACTCGAAACGTTATAACTTCTGAACGTTTGCACATTTTCAAATGAAATCTTGACTTTGTTGATAGAGTTCAATAAAGATTACGATTATATTCCAAAAAGACGGCATGCTACAGAACGCAAAATCAAACTAAGGGTAGAGGCGACGAAAAATTTACTTTTCAAAGACTTCGATCGAAAAAAAATTGTTGAACGAAACTCATCATCTGGATCTGCTATTACTCTATACGTCTCTTTGTATCTGCTACTGAAGTCATAGGCGGCGGAAGCTGGAGGCTGGGTGAGGCATGAGCCTCACCAGAATTTGGTGTCTGGAGGCTCAGCCTTACCCAAATTATGAATACGACATTTTTTTGCACGATGGTTTAGACTTATCAAATGAATATTATTTCAGTCCGAATATACGAACTTCTAATATATTTATTTATATGTTGTGATCATAGGCGGCGGAAGGTATAGGCTTGATAGGCTTGAGCCTCACCAGAATTAGAATTTCAAGGATGGGTCAAATTCGAATCTGATATTATTTGGCTAGATCAACCTTATATTAGTTAAGATATTGAAACCTTTTACGCGTTTATCTATATATAACGATGAAGCAAACTTAAAAAACGAGACGGTAATAAAGCCGACTATCTATTCCGTCATAATTCGTCACAACATCTTTGTTTTATTCACATAGAGTGTTGTACAAACCAAAACGATTATAGAATAATGCAGTCAATGTCAGAACTATTTGTATTCAAGCGTTTATCTTCATCTTCGTGATGTATCACTCATTTCTCTATATTGAGTGAAAGCACAGTCCTAATAGAGTGTGGGTGTGGACACAGGGGAAATAACAGATTCCGGGATTCCTGGGTTCCATATGATTCCGAGGAACTCCAAGATATTTTCAAGATCTAAAAAAAGGTAGAATTATTTGAGAATCCTTCAGTCTCTTTTATCATACGAATGTTTCCTGTTCCATGCTCTATGATGGACAGTGAACGACCACGGTACTACTATAAAAAGTGATGTAAACATTCACGCAAGCGGTGTGCATAGTACTTAGTAATTTCGATCTTAAAAAAGGATTACCTGACTACTTGCAATAGCTTGTATTTTAGATTGATAATCAAATTGAAAAAGATAAGTGTTAATGAAAACAAAAATAAAAACAAAACCTATAATTATTCAATAGCTGAAACCTGTGAAACAACAATAAGTAAATCAGTTAGTAATGGTGTGGGTGTGTGGGTATGAAAGCAAAATCAACAATCCACACCCACACCCACACAGTGGACAGCCAGGTGATAAAATCAATTTTCGAGATTCGAACCCATATCATAGCTAGCATTGCAGCTACTATGGTTCTGATTTAAGAGTATCTTGGATGTCGCTCTATAGCGAGTGTGCATTAAATATCAGGTACCACAAAGTACGTAAAATAGGTGAATATCATTAATTAGACCATATAAGTAAAATTTATATTTTTAATTGATGAACTACTTATATTTTGTAGTCATCAAATACTTGTACAGTGTTATGTATTTGCTATATATTACAGGCCGTCCGGACTTCTTGAAGCTCTTTAGGCTATAATAAGATCAAAAACTTCCAATCAGTATGGTGAAAAATAGTCACTGATCTATAATGCAGTTCATTTGCTGGATTTTGTCGGAGTTCAAATGGAAGTTTTAATCTATCTTTTGATAGAACGTATCATCGTCTATCTTCAATAGATCCTCAAAGATGCGCCATTGAACCCTTGTCGAGATTTTTTATTTTTATGACATTTTTTAGTACACCGTCATGGTCTCCCTCAAGCTCACTGAAAAATCGACTTTCGAATTTCAACTTGAAACTTTGAGCAGAGAAAGGTCTCAATAAGACTGGTTTATTCTGAAATTCTGAAATTTCTTGGTTGCTTCTATCTTTAAATATGAACACTTAACATTTTGTGCTTTAAGTAATGTGAAAAAAAAGTACTTTTTCTTACACTTGTATCTCAAGAGAGAAGGAACCCAAAAATCTGAGACCATCAGAACAAACTAGTCTGATTGAAACCCTTCTCTGCACAAACTTTCAAATCGAAATTTGAAAGTTGATTTTCCAAGTAAATCTGACAAAGACCACGGTGTTCTGCTGAAAATTGCTGTAAAAATCAAATATCTTGATAGAAATAAGCAAGAAACACGAGTCTTTTTCAGAGTATTCATAGCTCATTAGAGCCTACATAATGCACATAGTCTCGACCCAATAGCGATTTGACACCTGGCAATTGCTTCTGATCCCTTTTTTCTGTCCAACGTGACCCACACCCTCCAGATAGCTGCGACCCATCTCCTCAATTATTTCTATCCTATCTGATATAATGATCGACAAAAAAAAATTAAGAAATAACTGTTTCTAATTTTTATAAAGGGCTTTTGCAGGGAAATCGAAAATATTTCGGCATTCCATGGAACTTCAAGGGTTCCATGAGGTTACAAGGAACTTCAAAGAGTTGAAATCTGCCGTTTTCCCTTTGGGGTGTTGGTGTGGATGTCGAAGAAGAAAACAAAATAAACCAAAGCCAACACACACCCACATCCACACCCTTTCGTCAACGAAGACATTGATAGAAGAAAAAAGTTACTTAGGATAATAAAAAAAAGTTTTTTACTGAGCCTCACCTGATTTGGAAACGTTCCGCCGCCCCTGACTCTCAATTACAAAAACTTATAGTTTTGATTTGGTTAAAATCTGATTTTGATTAATTATCAAACATTTTTTAAACCAGATCATTCTTTTCTATTTTTCTCTTAGAATATTTGGTCTTCTGGTTATCAAACTATTTAGATTTGACCAAAATTTCTGATAACGCTGCTGACAATTTTATAAATCAATTTCTGAAACAGATGCATAAACAATCCATAAGATATTTCCAATAACATTGGGACCTAACGCTGAAACATATCGAAAATTTAACTGGATACGGTAGGAAAGGATTCATAATACATTTATCAGAAGAAATCAATCTAAAAAACATACTTGTGCAGTTTTTTCATTATTATCTTCACATTTACTAAGTACTATTAATACGAAGTTATGTTGTGAAAATCATGGCGGTTTTGGCTATTTTCTAAAAAACTGACGGAAAATTGCGATTAACTCGAAGTTTAACATGATTACGACAGCCAATTTATTAGGAAAACCATAAAAACTATCAAATCGGGAAAATAATTTTCTTTTACATCCAATTTTTTCAATATATTTGTTGAAGCTTACAGCTGAAAACCGAATTCTTTTTCGTAAGAATGTCGCTACTGTGACATGAATGACATTACACGACCTACAATCAAGATCGAATAGAACTGCAATAACTTAACATTTATTCCGTTAGTTCCAAATCGAAACATTTTCCTTGAATCCTTGACTAATGAAAAACAAAAAATATGCATTTGCTACTTATATTTAGATCTTGTGGGTGTGAGTGTGAGTGGGTGTATGGGTGTGGGTGTGGATTTTCTCATCATAGTAGCATTCACACTCACACTCGCATCCACACCCACACCCAACTGAGGACACAAAGGAAAGAGATGAAAGCGGATTCCAGGATTCCCTGGATCTTGTGTATCCCTATTCGATCCTTTGGATTTCGATTGGATTAGGTGCGGGTATCAGTGCCAGTATCAGTGCGGATGTGTGCGACGAAAACAAAAGCACATACGTATCCATGCACCTACATCTTTAGAGTCTATGAATCGCATATGAACATTTCATATTCAATGGATTTTCGCATCTGTTTTTCTTTTTCTTCTATGCTTTGAAGAAACTTATTTTATATAAAATAATAATAAAAATAAACAATAAAATAAAAAAGCAGTAGAAATTTCTAAAAGTCACTCCTCTTTGATTTCGTAGATAAAATATCATGCGACACATGGTTTGTAAAATACCATTTAAACGCTGCAATAGGAACTGTTTTTTTCTCAGCACTGCTAGCCAGAGCCATAGACGGTTCGGCGACTTCGTTTTGAAATCTGGATCATTTTTCGGATCGCCAAGCTCTATCACCGTTATTTCTTGATTCAATGTTGTTTTAAGTCTTATGCGTGGATCTTCCGTTTGGGTGATTGATCCGCTTGAGTTCGAATTGAACGGTATAATGTTAGAAGAATTTATAGATTTGTCTATATCGGACATTGTCTGATGTTTAAACCATCTTTCCCCTTCATAAGCAATCCAACTGCTCACACATATAAGGAAAGATTTAGCATAGATACAATTCAGCCATTTTTCTGGCAACTTCTTGTAACCGTAGTGAGCTCCAGCCAACTGACCGTAGATAGCTGCTGTTGTATCTGTATCGTCACCTAGATTAACTGCATTAAGTACACCGTTCTCGAACGAATTTTCATCACTCCAAAAAGCCCACAAAGCCGCTTCTAGAGCATTGACAATGTATCCTTTTCCTCGAATTCCATCCTGATAACCACCTGGTTTTTGGTACGATCCTTGAACAATCACCATGATGTCAGGGTGAAGAGTTCGACCCCCAAACCATTCTGAATGATTATCGTAAAAGCTTTTACTAGTTAGTTCATTTTTCTGTTCACCATTAATGGCAGCCACAATGAGAGCTCCGTAATAGCGACAAGCGTCATAAGCTTTGTCATCGCCATGGGTGATCTTGCCACTAAAGCCTGAATATTCAACAGCCATTTTTGGATGTCTAAAGAAGAATATTGGTACAGGTGCAAGACGCATCAGCGCCCCATTGCCAGCCACGCCTGCATGGCTGCATTCGACCTTGAATTCATGAAGAAGATTGAGATCGGATAACTGGTCTATTTGATTTAAAGCAATGTTATGCTCACGTGCAAAGTTGCTTTGACGCTTTTCAAATTCTTCGATGGATTCTCTGGTATTTGCACCAATGTCGAAGCAATGGCCAGTCGATGACATGTAGCCATGTCGATACCACCACTTATAACGAACCAATTGATCATATGCTACAAAACCTTGACAAGCAATTAAAGAATTCGCTAAACAAAGCGCCATAGATGTATCGTCGGTGAACTAGAAAAGCAAGCTGTTATACACGTCACATTTTAACAGTACCTACCTGTCCCTTTTCCAGACCCCATGTTCCTCCTCCTACGAGATCCTTGACTGGATTAGCAACCATATAATTATGAGGCCTGAATTCAACATGGGCGCCAAGAGCATCACCAACGGCTAAACCAAAAATCGAACCTCGAGTACGATCCACTACATCATCACTAATAGTTGACAACGGAGCACAATCTTGTTGACTAATTCCAAATTCATGAGGTTTCTTAATAGATGTTTGATTAATATCATTAAAATGGCACTCGAGCCAAGGTTTCTCTAATGTAAAAGAAAAACACTCATATTTAGAATAGCTAGCAAAACCTATTGAAGCAACTCTTTCAATTCATGGTGTTACAGACAAGAACACTTTAATATGTGCATTAAAGATAGTCAATGCTTACCTTTTCTTTCTTCATGTGCGGAAGGCATTGTCGATGCAAGTTTTTTCTCTGCAAACCAATGACCAAATGGATTTTCTGAAGCAAATTCTGTTTAACATCAGAATATGACTGAATCACTTAACCGTAAGATTGTGGAGTGTGTATGTATGTGAACAGAAGATAAACAATCACATGTAAACCATTCTTCACATCATTAAACTGGATTCACTCAAAATTCTCAACTTTATTAATATATAGGTATCGAGTCAACTTTCTATCTCGTTACAACAGAGTCATTCAGAATCGTTAAGTTAATGATATATGAGGGGTGCGGGTGTGGGTGGGGTATGGGGTGTGGGTGTTGATATGCTTCTCGCTAGCAACGACACCCACACCCCCACACCCACACCCATACCCACACCCAACTGTAGTACGTAAATATATCAATAGCTATGCTTCGAATCTCGATGTTCGAGTTATGATTATTATTAAATTCCTCTTCCTAGTAAAAACAGTCACCAATAACTATTCATAGTCAACAATACAAACAAAAATGCAGAGAAGGAGATGATATATCATCTATATAATGGGAAAAATGTATTTTTACGCAACTGCAACTGGAAATAACTGTTGTAGTTTCGTCTCAAAATGATGACAATTCCTATCAACAAAGTTTACTTTTTCTATATTATTCATTTTTAGAGCCCATTTACTCTTATGTACTTCACATGTCTAGTAAGTGTTTCTTCTTCAACTATTATCTTGTATTAAATACCACTATCATTGCTCAAAGCCAAATGAAGAAAATTGTCAACATACCCTTTTTATTGTTGGTGACTATACTCTGTTAGATATGAAAATGGATTTTTTTGAGAGCGTCAGATTCTTATCTGCTACTGTTGTTAGAGAACACTTGTTTTTACTTTTTTTTTCTTCCTCTTCTCCCCATTTTTTTTTCTTTTTACAAATCTGCATATTATCAGTAAGAACGTCTTATGATAAGAGAACACTAATCAGTCACAGACGAAGCTGAGCGTAGTGCAGATGTGAATATAAGTATGAGTGAGTGAAGGATGTGGGTATAGTTCGATGAATCTCCACAGTCATACTCCACGTTCACACCCATACCGTCCATACCCAAACAACAGCTGCATTATCTTTTCGTTGAAAGCTTCACTTACACTTGAGCGTGCATACACTTCATTACATATGCTTCGTTTATTATGGAATGAAATTTTTCCTACATTAGTTGGGTGTTGGTGTGGGTGTGGGTTTGTTTCTATCCGAAGTCACACCCACACCTCACAACCACGCCCATCCCCACCCACCCACACACTCACCCACACCCTTTAGTAAAATATTAGATATTATTATTCTGTAAAAGAAAATCGTTACTATTCCTGTATAAACATGTGACATCAGCTCTTAAAAGTTTTCTTAGTCTTCGATCTGATGTTACTGATTTTCGAACTATCATTATGTGCTTTGTTTTTCTTTTAAATGTCTAATCAGAGATGAATACTGTTATGGATCATGATTGTGTTACAATTGAAGAACAAGCAACAACCATTAACGTTGAACAACTCAAAACATCATGGGATGCATTCATTTTCGAAATAAAGAAGTCTGATAGCTCTACTGTGGAAATTGCATTGATCAAACAAATTGTTTCCTTATTAACTTATTTCTCATCCAACAATAAGCAACTAACAGATCCTGCACTCATCACACATCCACTTTTCATCATTCTATGCGATTCTGTCCTTGTTGATTATCTTTGTTGAAGACAAAATCAAGATATTGCATGCGAGCTATTGTTCGATCTGTCAACATTCTTTGTAAATATCAGTCGTCATATCAATAATACCAATGCTCATTGATTCAAGCAACTTCTTTTTCATCAACATTTAATCGATGAGCTTACCAATTGTCTCAATGAGATTGGTGACAATGGAAAATACTTAGATGATCCTCTTTTTCTCACTTTAATTCATTGTCTACTAATGACATATCAATATTTTAATCGATTACAAAGTATAACAAATGAATATTCATCGACTACATCATTGCTTCTTGCTGTTATTAAATGTTTATGTTCTTCATATTCTATTGAAATAATAAAAAAATTGGAATATAATTTTTCTTAAAAACTCAATCAAGGTCAAATACTTCTTCCTGGTACATGTTCATTGTATCTCAAATGGTATCCACCTATTCATCAATCGGAACTTTTTCTTCAAATACCACATATATTATTGAGTCCATTTACTCAATGGATAATAAGTTGTCATTCAGATTCAATTATTCATTGTTCTAAAGATGTTAGAAATATCCTACGTCGTTTGAATAATGCCTTTGTTCGTCTTATCCAATGGGAAAATGTCAATATTTCAAATCAAGAATTCTATAATGATTATTGTAGATTAGTTTCAAAATGGTCATCATTTTTATGAGTGATACTTGATTATTCATCAGATGATCCTAATGTTAAATCAATAAAAAAGATTATCGCTCAAAATTTGTACGATTTTATATTACATGCAAATGTACTAAATTTTATGAAAACTGTACCAAATTTAATTCCAATGCTACTTCAAATGATCGATGTTGAAGAAGATGAAACACAATTGAATACTTATCGTTGCTTGGGTAAATTGATGAATGAAAGAGATATTAAAACCATGGCAAGTCCGAGTAAGATTACGAGTGTCTATGTTAAGTTTCTTTTGAATACAATTGATGATTCAAAAACAAAACAACGATTTTATAGTATATTATGGAGTTTGAAAAGCAAGTTATATTTTGTTTTATTTTTACTAACCTCTTCATACGATTTATTGTCTATAGATTTTCTTCAACATGATCAAGTCAAAGTTGAATTAATAAAACAAAATGCACTTCCACTACTTATACGATGTATAATTGAAACTGAATTTGATTCGATTAGAGTCAAACCAATAGTTCTCGAAATTCTTCTTGCACTTTCATTTAATAATGATGCTTCATCGGCTTTAAAACAAAATATAAATTTGATGTCAAAAATTCGAAATCTTGTCGATAATACCAATTCGGATAAATGAAATTTACAACGAGCTGCCGAAGCTCTTCGTTGGAAATTAGAAAAAGAAGCTGAAGCTGTTGCTAACTTAACTAATTCAAAATCACATAAATACGATATTATGATAAGTTATTCACATAATGATCGACAATTATGTTATCAAAATTCATGAATGATTTGTTCAAGATGGATTTAGTGTTTGGATCGATTGTGATAACATGTATGGAGCTACAATGATTACTATGGCAGAAGCTATTGAAAATTCTGAATTTGTTCTGATATGTATGTCGGATATATATAAACAAAGTGTCTATTGTCAATCGGAAGCACATTACGCATTTGAACGACGCTGTCATTTGATACCACTTATTATGAAACCTTGTTATAAGCCTGATGGATGGCTCGGTATTATGGTAAGCGATAAAATTTATGTAGATTTTACCAAGATCGAATTTACATTGACTTATGAAAAATTGAAAAAAGAAATAAATCAATATTGTCAACTGAATATGAATTATTCAATGGTAAAATCTAAAGAAAGCAATTATCAAGATATTTCTTCTACAATTTCGAAATCTGTTCAAGAGGCTTCGATATTGATCGAGAGATCTTCGATCATGTGAGTTTTGTTTTGCAAGTCATAACTGAAAAACTCATAGAATAGAAAATTGTTTCTAATAGTGATGACATTGCAAATGAAGTATTTCACAATAGACGTAACAGCTACGAAAATATTTTTCAAATAGTCTTGCTTTTTGGAACTTGACCGGTGCTTATCTTCAGAGAAAAAGATTTTTTTTTGATCAATTTTAAGATCATAGGAATAGTTGTCAATTTAAGTGTACATTGAAATAGAAAAATAATTAAAAACTTTCGATTTTACAGCCGACTTGTACCAGAAAATAAAACTGTCAATAACAGTTAGATATCCTTGTTTGTATTTTCTCATTCTATATTATTTCTTTATACAGTGAACTACCTCATTGGATTATTCAATGGGCTAATAATCATGTTCAATCATTTTTTCTAACAAACGGAATTGATAATACCATGCTTCTTCTATGTTCACGACTGGACGGTCATCGACTTTTACAGCTCTATGAAATTTGTATGATCAATCGTGAATCAATGTATCAATCATTGAAAAGTGAATTGGCCAATGTACATCACAGAACATTAACAATTAGTGATTATGTTACTTTTCTTCATGAGATTCAACGTTATATTGCATTAATGCATACCATTTCTCAACCTGCATCATCATCTTTACCTTCTTCTACAGCTTGCTAATTTATGTAACTTGATTGTCATCTATTTTAAATGAGAATAAGCGATGCATATAATAAAAAAGACTCATCTCGATACCATCGATGAATTTTTATTAAAAATATTCATTATTCTTATAGTCCGATATTCAACAAACGTACACAAAAGTACCAAGATTGATCTATAGACTTTAGGATGTGGATGTGCGAGTGGATGTGAGTAATCTCATTTGTTTCAAAACGAAAGTCATGTGTTTTTCGTCAAACTTTTTGAACAGGTTTTTCGATTGATCATCTTTAGCTTCATTTAAGAACTATTTTTATTAAACGGATCACTGATAAATTTCCGATGCTTGAAATCAAAATTGCAACTTGAAAAAATCTAATTATAGAAAAACTACGATATGGTATCGATGGATGGATGAGGGTGTGGGTGTGGGTGTAGATGTGTGTGAGGATGGGTGTTGGGGGAAAGAACATACACACCCATCTCCCACACCCACACCCCACCCCACACTTCTGATTGCTACCATGTGGTACGAAAAGAAAAAACTTTATTAAGGTACATATATATGTGAAATGAAAAATGAAAGTACTCCTAAATACTAAAATGTTTCATTGGTTAAATAAGTAGAAAGAAAATATCGAACAAAAAAAAAACGATTAAGACATTGATATAAACGCTTAGAATACAATAGAAAATATAGAAAACAGCACACGAGATACAAAATGAACATATAATCAACCGACAATATGAATAAAATAAATTATTTTTGATAAAACAAATATACCAAACTAATACTTGTTTCCTCGTTCATTTGCAAAGTCTTACAAAAATAAATACTCTAAGTCCATATTGTCAAGGGAGCTATGCCTAAAAGAAAGAAAATAATAAGATATCAGATAATTCATAGGTTAGTCGACCTGATCAGAACATTATCCGAGATGTCACATGCTCTCTTTTCATGGCACAACAAGAGTATTTCAGTGATCGATCGGTTGGAAGAAAAGCAGTTCTTTTTCTCAGTCTCTCTCAATATGAAAAAAGATTGTGACATTCGTTCTGATAATGATTATTCGAAGTCATTATTTATAATGAAACAAAAAATTCTTACCTTCAGGGGATATCATGCTAGGTAAATAGTTTTCTTCGTTAAGAAAATAAACCGGATATTCGACAACAAAACCTTGGACGTCTTTCAATTTTTGTTGTGACTTGATAAAAAAAATAATAAAAACATGGTTCAAAAACTACGAAATTTGTGCATTCGCATATATACTTTTATTGGATCCGTATCTTTCATCTTAGCCATGCCATTATATGCAGTAACTTGAGCAAATGTTCTAGTGTGATCAGTTGGGATTGTAGCAAAAACTTCTTCATAAATGAGTGTATTTTGTTTTGCTACATCTTGAAAATAAGAATAAAACTCATCTGACACTGGATCAGTTACATCAATGTTATTTGGATTTTCGAATTGAATACCTAATAGCATTCTTAAAAGTAAAATAGTTTTCTACTAGAATCAATGTAATTTTAGATATGAAACATACTCAAAGATCTTTTTACGCCAACTAGAACAAAATTTTCCTACACGAACTGGCTGTCTATTGAATCGACCATCTTCTTCTTCAATATCATTTATTACAACACAAAATTCACTATCACGATTACCAACTAATGAACGATCATTTATATTTGCACTACCACATATAGCCATGCGATCATCAATGATCATTAATTTTGAATGAACATATATTATTTCAGTTACCTAAAACAAGACCACGAATATACGAATTCTATTAATAGTAAAATATTATATTTACTAGACGGCCCATTAGGATGTCATGGTGACGCATACCAAAAAAATTAATATAATCCTTTGGTGGAATACCTTAATATCAAGAAACAGAATTTCATAATGTATATAAGAATTATAGATCGATTTAGGGATGTCTGTTGTGGATGAACATCTGCAGTGACAATAGAAAATAAAAGTTCGCCGGTCTCTGCCATGCTTCGATGGAGTACAAAAATCAGTTCCCATTGTTACAAAGGTATTCAAGAAAACTGTTTAATTTTCCACTAAAGCGAATGTACTGAACTAGAATTCATCACGCCTCAATGTTGTATTTGTAGATTTCGAAATTTTTTACAAATACATAACATTTTGAATCGTCCTTCAAAGAGAAGTCGCTGCTGCCGTGATAAGTGTGTCTGCATCGTTTATTTCATTTGTTCATGAATAGGAGACAGTCGAATTCGAGTATCATGTTTAACTTTTCTAGATTCTACTATATTTGAATTTTTCTGATTAGAAACAACATGATAATAAATACTATATCTCAAATAAGTTTTTTTCCCTTCTTTTTAGCATTTTGTGAAGCATCGTATTGAATTATGTCAACCATTATTACCCGACTGCATAGATATTGTTTTAGAACACGGAATATCCATTCAGCTTTCGTAAGAATAAGGAAGTGTAGAGTAGAGTAAGACTAGAAATCTTTTTCAATCATACTACAACGTACGACAACAGCTTATTCTGAACATCTCTGAAATTCTTCATCATCTCCATCTTTAATTCCATGAGGTGTATTCCTCTCTGTAAAATTTCTTTTCCATATTACACTAAATATATACTAGAATAAATTCTGTTGTCTTTGACTCAATTAAGAGATACCTTATCTATTGAGTGCAGTTTTTTTTTCGAAAATACAATAAGTATTTCTTGAAAATAATTAAACATATAAAAATACACTAGACACAGATTTTAATTAAAACATATGACAGAGACCGGAAATGAACGGGTTTCGTCATGAAATTATATAAGTGAAGTATCGATAATATAATTAAAAAACAACAGATCTTTATTCTTAAAATCTTTAAAACGTTATTACAATTGATTGAACGTTGCTTTTTCAAACGACGATAAACAATTGTACTCAGTCTAGTCCTATTTACTGCTGCAAATCACAATGTAAGATTGAAAAACTCCTAAGCTACTCTAGTTTCATATCTGCTATTAAAAAACAAGAAAACTATGAGAAAAAATGTTGACTTACATGCTTTTTCAAGTCGTTTAAGTAATGAATTATCGCCTTTAATGATCGAACGCATAATAAAATAGAGTACAGCTTGTACAGCATTCGTGTTATCAAAACCAGGTAAAAGAGGAAGAACAACATAAATACGAAATTTTTCAGCATTTCTAATCAACAAATGAAACTATTTAAAATATTATATAATAAAAACACGTCATACTTATGCGCTCGTTCTATACGTCGAAAAAGAACATCAGCTATTTGATTTTGAACCACTGAATCTTGAGCAATAGTAATAAAGAATTGATTCTAAATACTAAATAATAGACAAAACCTGTATTTTTTTTAAATTAACTTACTTCAATATATATAAAATGTTTAGCAGCATCAATCATTTGTATATAAGTATTATGAATCGATGATTCCATTGATTTTGTTCTCACTGACCATGGTCCAACTGATCGAACACACTAAATGCAAAATTCATGTGAAAATAATTATTAAAATGAATATTAATCTAAAATAATAACTTACTTGAGCATTTACACGAAATGGTTGCCCTTCAAGAAAATCTCTCCAGTTTTCAACAGCTAAGTCTTCAACATCATCGTAAGACTTAGGTAATAGAAATGGATAAAGATTGTTGTTCAGATATTTTTCACACTTAACAAAAAAATTCAAAATTAAAATTTATAAAATATTTTCTCAATTTTTTGGTAACTTCCATTTTGAGCGAATAAATTCATAATCGAATAATTGATTAGTTTATTACCAAAACGATTGATTACTATCTGAGTTAGCAACCAGGTCAAATAGTTCCCAACAGATGGCAGACGTGTAGATAAGTTTCTATGCCAGTTCTCGATGCTCATTTCATTTGTAGTCTCATCCCATTTTATCTCAACCATCGTCAGCATACTCAGAAAATTTTAGAGATTACATTGAGAGGTGCTCCGAGGTTGCCAGGTTCCGGCGTAGGATTCAGCAATTTTCTCCAGAATCGGTGAGTGAAACAAAGAATAAAATGGGAGAATTTCGCTGGCGGACAATAAAAGTTTTCAAGATTAGAAGAGGAGTATACTACTACCAGAAGCCTTCTGAGTAAAACCACATAGAGAAAACCGACACTAGGAGAGATTGCCGCAGGAAAAACATTATATGATATCTTGTTAAAACAGAACTGCTAGTCGTCAATTTACAATATTGGAAAATCTACTCTCGTGTCTTTAATAATGGGATCTATATCAAATTATTTAAACAGATGAGGATGTGGAGTGTGACTATTGCTGCATGTGTTACTGCAAGTGTCTCGATATGAATTTGACTCGAGCCTAGTATGATTTGAGTACGAATTAGGCAAACTATAAGTGTCTTTAGTGTATTCACTTCCATATAAACAATGAATAAATGGTTTCCAAGATATATTCAAGCAAACAAAATTCACGTGATTAGGGACAACAGCAGTATTGTGTTTCATATTTTAATCCCGCAACGATTGGACTAACAACTTTTCGATCAAGCAATATATTTAACTGTTTTAGTTACCAACTCAGATTGTAATCAATCATTTTGGTAATAAACTAATTGCTGACAGTAATGTACATAAAGAATGAAATCTATCTGATTTAATAATCTCTGATTATGAATGCATGTAGCGAAATTCAAGTAAACTGTTTTTATTAACTAACTTTATGAATATTCCATCGTTGAATAAAATGTCTTGCAACATCTCGAGCCGTTTGACCAAATACAACTAATGCTTCATCATGCCATGGCATACGTGGTACTAATGTTCGTATAATATAATCTACCGTACAGTTTATATTAGCAGATTTGACATACGTGAGCAAAACAAATAAAGAAAAGTAAAGGCTAATTACCTGACCTGAAATCTTCAAGTTCTTTAAAATCTTTTTCATATGCATTCGCATAATCTTTTCCAATAAAATATCGATGTTTTCTATCAAGTTCAGGTGTTGTATTAATAATTGGTTGTTGTTCTTCAAGAATTTTTTCATCATCAGAGTCTTCATCATCTTTTATTCCTGTCTAAATAAACTAAACATTTAGATTTTGCTATCGATTACTTTGTACAGTCTTTCTATAGCATGTCGAGTCAATATTCAACTAGTTCAAAAATCAGATTTTATTGCTCTTTCTAACCTATTCAAAACATTATATTAACAAATATGTTGTTAAGAATATTTACATATCATTGAAGAAGTTTCAATGTAGTAGTTCGATATAGACTTATATTCTTTTTCTAAATGTATTTTCAGATATTTTTGCAAACTTAATGTTAGTTTACCGTGAGAAAATATTATTTCGATTAATCAAAATACAATGTTTTTTCTATTATTCATACCTCTTCTCGATAAAATAGTTCGAAAGTTTAGACTCGCTAATTTTTCAACGAATTTTCTTCACGCTGGACAGTAATGGAGAAAAAATTTTATCTCCTATTTTTAATACAATAAATGTCGATCATTTGTGCAGCATGAAAAAAGTAGAAGCTGATCTGATATTTCCTGTAAGAAGGATCGCTCTATATCAATAAATATAAATGAAAACAAAGCTAAAACTACATGAAAACTTTTTGTTATAGCCATTGTTTTCGTCCTTCATCAAAGAGTATGAGGTTTGATGTTGACAACCAACATGAGTTTAATTTGGTTTCCTGTCTTATGTGATCTTGTATTTCAAAGTTCTCGAAGAAGATTCATTGTAGTTCATTACTTTTGTTTTGTTTCTAAGAGGATGTCAACCTGCACTGACTAACAGAGTTCGTTCTCTGTATTAAGGGTACTGATGCCAAAAAATATGAAAAGAATAATGAAAAAGAGCATGAAATCCTCATTCTATTTAATCATTTAAAACTATTTCCAATGACACAGAAGTAGAATGCTATGTAAAAGCTCTAACGAAAATGTCAAACTGTCAGAAATAATGTTGTTGACTTTTAAATCAATCAATTTTTTTTTCTTAGAAAACGCAATATTTGAAATACAAATTTTGTATTATATATGCTTTCCAAGATCTCAGACTCGGGCTTGAAAACTATATTCGCTACAAAATTTGTTGTTCAGTTATGGCTCTTTTTTTTTTTTACAAAGAACAATTTGATTGCTTAAAGAGTCGGCAAAGTGATCTAATAGGTTCTAACATTTTCGTCAAGACTTTTGCATCACATATGAAAAGAAAGTCTATGAAAAATATTATGAAAAGTCCTTTTATGCACAAGTTATTGATTTGATTATTTACTTGAGCTGAATGTTGCAAACCCATAGTAAGCTGTTGTAATTGTAGAATTCCTGCTGTACCAACTTCCAATACACTTGTATTCGTTGTTATCTGTGTACCTTCAATATATAAATAACACTCAACAATTCAGATTGTTTTCTTCTGTATTAATTAGAACTATGGAGAACAATGAATTAAAGCTCTGAAATGAAAGATTAACGGCAATCGTTCTCTTGAATTATGCATTTCGATAAAGATAGAAATAATAGAAGTTGCTATTAAATTGTTGTTGATTAAGAGTGAATGTCTTACAGATATAGAATGTTCATGTTTATCGTGTCTGATTTAATATCACTTTTACTTTCACCCGCTTCTATTTGAATGATGATAATTTTTAAACACAAATAATCGAAGATATTAAAACGAGTGATACTTATTTAATTTAGATCTCTTACAAACGAATACTATCGAAAATAAATTCATCACAGTAATTTTATTCGGAACGATCTTCCCTAATATATAAATATTATTATTTCTTGACCTTCATTTCTAAAAGAAAAGTAATGACATTCATTTGTACCTGTCAGTGTTGATCGCATCCCTTAATAATGAGAAAAAAAAACAGGAATAGTGAATAATTTATCAAAAAACAGAATGGAATTAGTTACGATTTTCATCTGTTGATTTTATACCATATGCTGTTCCACTTGTATCAGTTGAATCAGAAAGCCTAATGTTTTCAGTTACCTCATTTAGAGGATTGAATGCTGCTCTCAGACAATTAAAACTCTAGAATAGATTCATAAATAGTATAAATACAGTCAAGGCAAAAAGTATTCGGGGGTCATTGCATTGTTTCATATTTATTGATTTGTGAAACCGAAAAAGAAGATCGAGTTTTTCTTCTTTCGTCGATAGATAATCCACGCGTCCTATTATCTATTTTTGATACAAAGATGTCCACTTTTTCAAAATCAGAATTAATTCAAGTATAATGCTTCTGTAATATATTTGGAAATTAATTTTGAAAAAAATCTCGATGTTTTTCCATCTGTAGTATCATTTTAAGAGATCTTTTCTTTGTTTTTGAAGTCATTTTTCTTGTGAAAATTACTTGTCTATGTTGCAAATCATATTAATGGATATAGCTCGTTGTACTCGCTCTGGTAATATGCACATGAAATGATTACGATGTCGAAAAAGTGTATACTTTAGTATGAAAACTAGAAGAGTCTTATCTTAAGTACATCGAAAAAGCGACTGTTTTTACAAAAAACGTTTCATACTTGAAGATGGTAGTCTTGTTTCTGCTTCACAAATCACTTAATATAAAAAGATATCAGAATGTCCGAATAGTTTTTGGTTTGACTTTAGCTGATGACCAGTTGTTTTTCTTTCATGTTTTTATCGATTTAATTATATTATTTCTCTTTTTGGTTTTCTTACCTTAATAGATGTTTTACCAGCTTGTTCAGCCATTTGCATAGTAGTTATTTGTGCTGCTTCTACAGTTTCTCTGCCACCTGATGCTACATTTTCTGCAGCTATATCAAACGGAGATTTCAATTTTGTATCATTTTTATCACCCAAATCGACAAGACTGACAATAAAAAGACAAAAACTCATAACTTAATACATAATTCAACTTAATTCTTATCGGTTTATATTGCATTTAAATAATTAGCAACTTTGCCAAACATTCGTGATCTTAATTATTATCGCATAGCTTTACATGATATGTTCTAAACCATCGAGAGTGAAGAAAATATTTAGAAGACATTGAAAGATTTATTTTTCTTAAAGACTATATATAAAATTATGGTTGATGATTTTCACCTGAAAGTTCATAATTTTATTACGTAATAATTGTTCAATGATCACTTCTGAACTAATCAGAATAAACAGTAAAATTTTCATATTTGATGAATTAAAATCATACTATTGATAAAGTTTGTATAATATTTCTAAAAAAAAAATCATCTCAATGGTACATACAGGGCTGTGCAACTGCAGTCTACTGACTACTAACTTCACTGACTGAATGTAGTTAGTGCATCTTAGTACCAGTGTTAGTGAAGTATCGGAATAGGATAAAGTAAACTCCGATGTCAATGTAATCAGAGTTCCAACAAATATTTTGTTAATAACTCACTGTTCAGTATTTCATAGCGACATTACACATTCCTAGTCCAGAGTCCTGCAGGAGTCTATCATAGGCACATGTAAAACTCTCATATGTATACGTTTTCTTCTTGTAAAAAATAAATACATAATGTATGTGAAAAAAACATGACGTCTAATATAAGACAGTAGCTCACCGCATATGTTCATCATCCCAACGGCCATAACATAAATCAATTCCACCAACGAAGGCAATCTTTTGATCGATAACAACCGTTTTTTCATGATGAGACCACAAAAGTAGTCCATCCTTAGTATTATACTTGGGATGTCGAATAACCTTAAAAATAAAAGCCAATGAGCCATTTATATTGTTTTTTAATTAAAAATGTTAAACTGACTTTAATAAATCCTTTTTTACTTTTAGAAACTAAAGTTTTTTTTGTATGTAAACTATTTAAACCTAAAGCAAATGACATCTCCTTAAAAAGCATCACATAAACACGAACTCCTGCATCCTACAATATACAGATAAAAATTTGAACAAATATGAATAATAAAACAAATCAAACTTTTACAGCTATTCTTCCTAGTATATTATCTAGTCGAAATGTTTCATCATCTGTTGGTCTAATCAACATAACTTCAGGTGAAAGCCACCAATCAGTAATAAAAACTTCTTCTTTAGCAGTTAAAAGTGCTTTAGCGACAGCTTCCATGTATGATTTACCATTAATAAACCTATATTAAATATACTATTTGAATAGAAGACCATATTATTATTTTACCAATAAGCTAATTGATTTTCTCGAACAGGTGCATATGAATTAAATCGACTTTGTAGTGCACTGACAAAATCTTTTGCTTGTTCAATTAAGTTTGATAAATGTTGTGTCCATTCATCACAATCAAGTGCTGTTGAACATTTAATAACTAATGTACGTTGTAAATTTTTTATTTTAATACTATTATTATGACCAGTATTATGAATACCAGTTAAAACTTGAAACCCACGATCAACTAACATAGGAAAACATACTTCGTGTATATCTGGTTGTATATCAACTATATAACTATCTTTAATAACAAACCATCTATATGTAAAAAAGAAAGCTCTTTTTATTGAATATCAAGTTTATAAAAAAAGACAGGACGCATACTTTGGACCATCATGACATTTGCATAAATTACAAGAATATCGTGAATGAAAGAAAGCACCGTGATCACAATGATAATCATTCGATTTTTCCAATAGATAACCTTCTTTTCGGCTAACTGATAAACCATGAATGAAGGATAAACAACTTACATCGAAAAATTCACACTGAAAACAATTAAAATAGTAGAACATAATATTATCAGAAAAACAATTGCCATTTTCGTTGAATTTTTAGTCATTAACTCCAGTTTAGTCGGAAGAATTCATAATCCAAAACTATGAGATCATATATAACTCATTTTTTTTGGTTATGTTGTATTTTCTTCGCAATATATTCTTATTTCTAAATATGCATATTATCGAACAGTCTTTTACCTTAACAGTTGTCACTGATATTAAAAGTATGACATGAAGTACACATGAAAGTTATAGACAAGAAGCCTTGTTTTGATCGTGTTTCGGAATATTACTTATTCAAAACAAATTTCACAAATCTTAGTTATATTATTTTGTTGGAAAAGAAACTATGATAATTGTTCGATGTTTTTTGTTTATATTAACATTATAAAGCTTCCTATTCAATAATAACACTTAAACATTGAAAAAATATCCAAATATCTTTGTTTTAAGTCTTATTCTAAATTGGATAATAACAAGAAAGAATAAAATATTTTAGCCAGTACGAATGTAATTTGTTTTTGCTTGAAAAATAAAGTTTATTAGAAATCAAATTGACACATTCTTGCACATTTTTTTCTTTTTAGGCAAAATATAGGATCGAAGAAAAATTACAAGAGGTGTATTAACAAAGCTGTTCGTTATCATCTCAATTATTAACCATCTATAGTTATTTGTTCTGTAAGAAGGAACAGATTTCAATGACCTGGTTATCAATTTAGTTCGTTTACTTCTCAGATGATAATCAATCATCTTTTAGTCAATTACTTAAGTATGACAAAATTTTGTACATATATATGAGAGATTATAATATGATTTGATAGTTTTCAATTATGAATTCATTCAGCGATATTGGAATCAAGAAAAAGCATAGTTGGCAAAAGTGAATTTCTGCGAAAATGTACTCAAAAATCAGAAAGAAGTTTTTCATGAATGCTAAATATTTGATTAATCTGTATGTTAAAATTAGCAGCAATGTCAATGATAAACTCATACCGTTGCTGGATGTGCACGAAACTTTGGATGCCTAAGAACTTTATTGAGATAATCGACAAGAAGATGCTAGACGACCAAAAAGAAAACAAATTAATAAGGAAAAAAAGAAATTTCATTGTATAATTTACACAATGTTCATCAACAATAGAATCATTAATAGATGCCATTTGATTATTTCTTGTTGGAAAACGTGGGTATTCATTATTTTTATCTCTGATACTAAAAAAATGAAACCACGATAAAAAAAAGTATCTGGAATACAAAATTTCACTTAGACAGATTTGGTATTATCAAATGACAACTGTTGTTATCATGGGCGGCGGAGCGGTCTTGATCTAGGGTAGGCTCAACTTTTAAGCCAAGCCAGCACCGAGAGTCAATTGAAAGACTGTTTTTTTCGTTTATAATAGTGAGCTCTACAGATTCTCTTGTTAGATTTAAATTCCGTAGAATTTGATAACTAAAGGATGGTTCGAAAGTTTCGACCCCTCTCTATAAATCGATAATATCTACAACAAACTTATAGAAAGTTATTGATCAAATTGTGTTATTTTGTAGAGGAAGATGAGAGTTATCCTTTAAAAAAAATATTTCGAAATAGATAAATCTATTATAATGTTATGATCATTTTAGCAGCTTTGAGCTGGCATCCGACTCCACCACTTTTTCCTCCTTTTCTTCTGTTCTTTTAAAATTCCTCTTTTTAGCCTCTTTTTTCGAAAAAATCCACCTTTCCTCTTTTCTCACGAGGAAGCAGGTCGTTGACAAAAATATTCATGAATATATTGATTATTGTTACCGTATCATACAAAAATATCACATAACAAACTGATGTGTTGATCAGTGAAGTTGCATAGATAAGGAAGCTATAGTATATGACTAGCGAGAGCCCGTGCATACTGCACGGATGCTTTTTTTCCTGTGAATTTTCACTTCTGTCCTTTAGCCTTGATTGGAAAATAGACGAAAACCCAGTTCCCATTATATATACATATAGAGATCGTACAGCCTGATACCCTTGTAGACTCATACTCTTGTTGTAGTACTTCTTTTAGCCTTATTCCGTTATTTCCTTATCCCTTATATCCTTTCCAGCCTTGTCCATTTATACCATATACCCTTATCCTCTTATACTCTTTTAGCTTTATCTCTTATGCCCATGTAGCCTTAGCCTCTTATCCCCTTTACTCTTATATCATTATCTCCTTATTCCCTACTCCCTTATAGCCTTATAGCCCTTGTGGACCTATGGGTACCACAATACAATAGCCCTTGTGGACCTATGGGTACCACAATACAATAGCCCTTGAGGACCTGTGGCTTCCTCATTATAATAGTCCTTGAGGACCTATGGGTACCCTCACAGGATAGCCCTTGAGCACCTATGGGTACTCGCATAGGATAGCCCTTGAGGACTCAGACGTACCCCCATAGAATAGTTCCTGCGGACCCAAAGGTACCCCGATAGGAATAGCCCTTGAGGACCTATGGGTATCTCCATATAATAGCCCTTGAGAGCCCAGGGGTACTTCCATATAATAGCCCTTGAGGACCGAGAGGTACCTGCATATAATAGCTCTTGAGGTCCCAGGGGTACCTCCATGTAATAGCCCTTCAGGACCTATGGGTATCTCCATATAATGGCCCTTGAGAGTCCAGGGGTACTTCCATATAATAGCTCCGGGGGACCCAGAGATACTTTCATATAATAGCCCTAGAGGGCCCAGGGGTACTTCCATATAATAGTCCTTGAGGACCTATGGGTATCTTCATGTAATAGCCCTTGACGGCCCAGGAGTACCGCCATAGAATAGCCCTTGAGGACCTATGGGTATCTCCATATAATAGCTCTAGAGGACCTGTGAGTACTTCCATATAATAGCCCTTGAGGACCTATGGGTACCTCCATAGGATGGTCCTTGAGGACCTATGGGTACTCCCTAGGATGGCCCTTGAGGACCTATGGGTACCGCCCTAGGATAGCTCTTGAGAACCTATGGGTACCTCCTAGGATGGCCCTTGAGGACCTATGGGTACCCCCATAGGATAGCCCTTGACGACCTATGGGAACCCCCATAGGATAGTCCTTGGGGACCTATCGGTACCCCGATAGAATGGCCCTTGAGGTAGAGTACTGCAACCCGACCCGACCCGACCCGCACCCGAGCCCGACCCGCGGGTGCGGGCGGGTTCGGGTTCAATCTTGTCGGGTGCGGGCGGGCTCGGGTTCAATCTTATCGGGTCGGGTCGGGTACGGGTCTGTCAGCCGTCGGGTCGGGTCGGGTGTGGGTTTGAAATTAAAAAATGTCGGGTTTTTATCGGGTCAGATTTTTTTGCGTATGTATGCTTTTGCCCTCTATTTTCGTTCGTCTTAAACTCATAGAATAATAAAACTCAATTCTATTGATCAATGATTCTCAGAGTCTAATGAAATCAGAACGTAATGCTGTTATTAAAAATATACGAATACTTTTAAAAGCTCTAGGTATAGATCAACAAGTCGATGAAGAAACAACAGAGACAGGTACCAACAACAATTCCTCAACACATCAAAAACGTATTAAAATAGACACTGTACACGATGTTCTCAAGTCTTTTAATGCATTTGTAGACTCATCATCAGACGATGATGATAAGAGGCCGATGGATAAAGTAGATGATTATATTAAAGCGAAAATATCATACCCAAAAGGAGAATCACTTTTACAACGGTGGCAAAAACACTCTATCATATACAAAAAGTGAGTTTCTTGATTACTATATCATTCTCTTTAAATGCACAAGAAAAATTCAATAAATTAATTTAAATTTGATTCCCCTTAGGTTATCATTATTGGCATGTTCTCTCTTAGCAGTACCTGCAGGTTCTGCTGTATCTGAAAGAATATTCAGTAAAACAGGTCGGATTCTTGAAGTTCGACGTCAACAAATATCACCAGAATCACTTGACTCTCTTATTTTTTACGAAATTTTTCAGTTGTTTTGTATAAATTGAAGATGTATTATTGATATTTGTACGATACTTATTGTTATGATCATTATCGATCTTAACTGTTTGAAATGTATGTATTTGAATGGAAATGTGATCATACTAAGTTGTGATGGTTTTTTTTGCAATCATGATTATCTATGTGTTTTTTATTGCTATAAAGCTTCTATCATTTTTTATGCTTAATATTGCAATAAACTGATGTATCTTTATAAAATAAACGAATTTAAATCTCTCGGGTCGGGTCGGGCTCGGGTTCAACTATCCTCGGGTCGGGTCGGGCTCGGGTCCAACTATCCTCGGGTCGGGTCGGGCTCGGGTTGAACCTTGTCGGGTCGGGTCGGGCTCGGGTTGAGCCTTGTCGGGTCGGGTCGGGCACGGGTACGACTAAAAGACCTCGGGTCGGGTGCGGGTTCGAAAAATCAAACCCGCGCAGGACTCTACCTTGAGGACCTATGGGTATCCCCATAGGATAGCCTTTGACGACCTATGGGAACCCCCATAGGATAGCCCTTGGGGACCTATGTGTATCCCCACATAATAGCCCTTGAGGATCTATGACTACCCCATAGGATAGCCCTTGGGGACCTATAAGTCCCCATAAATAGTCCCTGGAGATCTCCCCTTATAGCCTTATGTGACCTTTAACCTTTGACCCTTGACCTTTAACCCGGCACAGACACACAGACAAACACACAGACAGACACTGAACATTATATATATAGATTTTAGTGATCAACTTCAGCGATATTATATAGCCATAATCGGAACCCAATTTTTGTAGTTCTCTAGCGGAAGCAAAAGCACTCAATTATGTTTCCAATATGAAATCGTCATTCTCTCACGATCTTAACATGTTTTTCTGGTTATGATCGACATGTAAAATTGTAATCTTGAGCTCACGTTTCTTGACCATTTTTTTCGGCCCCAGAGAAGCTTGTGATATGTATCTAACAATGGATAGGTAACTCGTAGCGTGGCGCATGCTTCAAAGCAAAGAGTTCCTAGGATGACTAGACTCAGTCTAGAATTCTGTCAGATTCAATGGGATTTGTTCGGCAAGATAGCTTCTGATAGTATGATAACATAAGTTGAAGATTTCTGCTTATCAGAAAATGAAGTAACCGCTCTTCCTCTTTTTCCGAGTTTCTTCGTATACAATCACATTTTAGAGGTTCGTATATCTCCAAACAGTACACGGAGAAATATAATCGTATACGAAGAAATATAAAGTAAAACGAAAAGTGTAAACGAGCTTTGTTTGTCTATAAACGATCATATTTTTGCGCATACGATCACGGATTTATACGATCACATTACTGGGCGATATGAAACGCCGTATTTCTCTAATTACGAGCGTGTTTGCTTGACATGGGTTAATATTGACAACGGTTTGATGATACTTGGAAGAAATCGGATATGATGAAATGCAACAGCAACAAACAGGGTATCCGATAACAAAAAAGTAAGAGATCATACAATCTACTCAATACAAGTAAGTCGTTTTATACAGAACCCAAGAAGATGATGATATGTCACTGCGAAAAATTAAGCGTTTTCGATAGCACGCGCTCAAATGATTCCCACGAACCTGCTGTCTGGACACAGTTGCAACCAATGTATTAATTTATGTTGAGAAACGGAAAAGTGAAACTGACTTGCGAAAAATGGTCAAAATCACGTAAGAATTGCCGAAAATTGAAAAAGCGCAAGAAAAACTTTCTCACATGCGCAGCCATCCGAAAAAAAGAAACAAAACGCAAAAAGGACATTTAATGAATTTTGATTATTTCTATTTCTATATACCTACTTAGTTAGACAGTAATATTATACTCAGATACTATGCAGATAGAATATTTAGAATATTTTTCTAATGTTTTCCGGTTTTCTAATGGATAAATAAGCAGCTGCACAAAAATCTCTGAACAATTTGGAAGTTTCGTTTTTGTTTTTCTCTTTCAAGTCATATTCAACCTATACTGATAACGTACGAGTTTTGTCAGATCTATAGTACTATAGTGCCGATGAGTTTTAGTTTTCTTCGAAAGGAAACTGTACGCCTCTTTCTCTCCTCTTTTTTATTCAAAGTCTCTTTTTTTTCAAGAATGCTGGGGCATCTTTTTTTCTCTTTTTCTTTTTTTACAAAGTCTTGGTGAAATGCCAGATCTATTTCCAAATATTTTTTCAGATGATAACTCTTATCTTTCTCTAAAAGATGACGTAATTTGATCAATAACTTCATATAAGTTTGTTGTAGATACTATCGATTTATAGAGAGTGGTCGAAACTTTTGAACCACCCTTTAGAGAATTCTAACATTAAACAGAGCCTATCTAAGCCTATTTTATCTCCTCAATCTAAGACGATTCGAGCCTACTCAAGCTTTTTTATATGTTTAATTTAGGATAATTCGAGCCTACCCAAGCCTACCCGACTTCAATCTATGGTAGGCTCGAGCCTATCCAGGCCTCGTGGCTCCGCCGCCTATGGTTGTTATAAAAATATCAATTACTCTTAGACTAGAGCCCTGCAACGCAACTCAACCTGAGAGCCAGTTCGGATGCGGTTGTGAATGTTCGGCTATAGACAAACCATCCTCACACGCTCACATAATAGAAAATAAATCGACTGCAATAAAGTATTTTCTATCGCTACAGGCATACTTTTTCAACAAAAAGTGGTATATATTCTGAAAGCGCTTGAAATTCGTTATTTCCATATGTATCTGTCAACCAGCTTGTATTGATTTGATGTAAAAATTATTTAAGTATGATGAAGAAACCGCTCAATGATAAGAATGAAATATTGAAGTTTTTTTGCTATTTTATTACATTTGTCGGTTCAATAATAAATACCATGAAAATGAGTTTCAACAAAAACAAATCTACATTCTGATAGAGCTTTAAATTCTCTATCTGCCTATGTATATTTCTTCTTCTCTAGTCCATTTTCTGTTTTAAAGAACAATTAAAGTATTATCCATATGTACTCAGCAAACCAATGAAAATTGTTTCTTTTTAACTGTTTTTTTTTGGGTTTTTAGTTCTTCATCACATTGACATTATTTCTGCAACAAATAAATGCAAGCTAGTAGACAAATATAAAGCAAGATAAAGAATGTCAAGCGCTTTCAACATATATCTAACTACTTTCTTTGAAAATGTATTTCTATATTCATTACAATCGATTTATTTTCTATTAAATGAATACAAACTCAAATGTAATTGCGTAGGGTGATACAAAAATTCGAAAGCTTTCAGAATATGTAATCGTTTTTGTGAAGATATATTTTTATATTGACGATATACTAAAAATACAGACTTCAATTATTTTTTTCCAAATCTGCTCTCTGGTATCCAGCTCCATCAGAGAACACTATCGTAAATATCTCAAATCTTATTTTTTGGAAGGGATTTAAGATATATTTTGGTTTTTAATTATTCTATTTCATACGTACATGTTTAAGTCAATTGTTGAGCTCTTGCTTTCGACATCGACGAAACTCTTCAATGTTTTATGTAAATCTTGAAAATGTCGATAATGCTTATAAATAGTCCATCGATTAAGTCCATGTTGAGCTGTTATACAAAATCTTCAATCAATTAAATTCATCATTTTGTTTATTTTAAGTGTTGTTTAGTTAAACCTACAAATATGGATATGGATCAATAAATGTTGCAAGACACCTATCAATATGTTTAGCCACAATTGATGTAACATGAACACGAACATTAGGAACAAATGCTTGTCCAGTTCGACGATGTATATGTTCAATAATAAATTTGTCACCTAAATAATGAAGAACTGAAATAGATAGAAACAAAAATATGTATACACACCTCGTTGAAAACGATCATCAATAATTTCATGAAAATTATTGTCGGGATATGGCAGATATTCCATGTATTTTTCATCTGCATGATCAGAATCAATGAATGGTTGAGTTATCTCAACTATGCCATGAGCCAGAACACCAATACCACGAGATTTATTAGAAAATGCCATCTAAAATATTTTTTTTCACCCACTCATACTATTTGTATTAATCATTAGTTTTCATGTTTATTGATGTAATCAAACAAAATCAACAGAGAAACAGAAAATAGATAGAAAAACGAGAGAAGGTGAACAGAATGCAGCCGCAACTTTTGTTTTTGGTGAATAGAACGAAATATTCTTATCGAAATAAGAGAATAACTAATTAGAAAGAAAACAACGTGCTACACCACAAAAAAAACAGCAGACAAAGTATAGTCCATAGAAGGCTTTTTTCTTTTTCGCCAATATATAGAAGAAAGTTTTCATTGTGACAGACTCTTAAACAGATTTGTAATAAAATTAAAGTTATCTATGTAAAAAAGCCTATAGTCATATAAAAATGCTAATCTATCAAATATCTTCATTGAATATATTACATGATAAAAAACAATAAAAATGATTTATCGAAAGTTCTTATTATGCTTCTTTTTTATTTTACCTATTTATCGTTATACTTCGAAGTGCTTACACGAGAATAGCAAAGGTAAATTCGAATAACTGCAAAAAACGCATACAACGATATGAGTATGAATGCATCAATATGAGCGTAGGCTATAATGTTTCATTTGTAACATAATGAAAGAAAAAGATCGAAAGAAAAGAGAAAAATCATAGACGATAAAATTAAAAAAAAAGGTATATATATATATATATGCACGTGAATGCATTTAATCAACAAAATCAATCTACTTAAGCAATAGAGACTCATCTTTCTTTCGATTTTTTTAGTCTTTTCATGCAAAAGAAATGACGAAGATGGTCTCCTTTATTTTTATTGCAGGTGGTTTTGATGACATAATATGTATTGAACTGTAACTCATGTTTAAGAAGAATCTTATTCGATTTACTTGACGAATACTTTCCAACATAAAATATCAAAGATTTCTATTTTAAAATAACAGAATAAAGAATACAATTTTGAAAAACAAAATTTGCAAAATGTTAATTCATATGGATATGGAAAAAAAAGGCTATACAAGTATTCCTTTCAATATTAACTTTCATATATTTGAATAATTTACTGAAAATGCTTAGTTATTTTTGTATCGTGAGTATCAAAATAATATCTTACACATTGTTTTTAAGTGATCGATTGAATTATCAGTAGATCAAAAGACTAGATTGATATCTAAACAACCGAAGTCGATCAAACTTGTGAGTAGAATTGAAAACAGTAGTGTATTATGCATAGCCTTTATTACTTGAAACGGTATATAATGCTAAAATGAACAATTTGTTTCAATTATTCTTATTTGATTGGGACCAAATGTTTCGATAGTTTGTGACAACATCCAAATTGTATTTAGACATTATTGTATATCATTGATCGTCCATCTAGTCGGACAATATTCAATCAAAAAATGGCTTCGTCGTCATCTCTTTCTTCTTACTCTACAGCAAAAGCTGTGCTGCCTTCAACAGACACTTTCTCTTTCTTTGCTATCCCTGTTTTATCAGGTGAAACAACAGTAAATGATTGTTCTATCTATACTCAAGCCGATGTCTTTCATATTTACCAAAATAAAACCGGCGTCTGTCCTTTTGGAGACAGAACTATATTATGAATTTATTTTTGTTGTTCTTGTTTATTACACAATAGAAAAGATGATAAGTATTGTGAAAACCAAAAATCGTTCCATCAATCATACATCTTAACGCACTATATAATTTATGCAAGTTGATCTATTCAAAACAGTAAGTGTGATTTTCTGAATACAGCTGTGCGGAACATAAAATTGCAGACGTTTCTCAAATCAATAAACAGCTCTTTCATTCAATCAAAACACTGTTTGCTTTATCTGATCCAATTGTTTGTTATCAGTTTGATTGTAAAGCATGTTCTGTCAATGTTCCATGGATGAAATAAATCCCACAGAATAGGCCTATCCATCTGATCATTGTGTTATGTGCTTATCCAGATCTTTTAAAGTATGCTTTGTACTGCTTTATTTGTTTTCGGAATAGTCACGAATTAGAAAGCAGTAAGAAGGCAACTTGATAGCCATGCCAAAACTCAAGTTGTTTTATCCTCAATCTCTTCTAATCTAGCAACGAATGCTAGTGTGATTTTCAAATGGAATCTGCTCATAAACGCCTGAAAACTGGTCACGAGTCATAAAAATTTAAAAATAAGGTACTTAATTAATTTCCTGTTTTTTTTTGCGTCGATTTTTTTATTTATTATGATTATAAGACCTGTCACTGTCTGCAGTGTAGGGTGAGAAACAAAAAAATATTGTTTCTTTTCATTAAAAAGAATTGTTTAATGTCCAGTTGTGAGGTTGCTAGCCTTACATCCAGACGGTTAGCTATCTGCACCCCAGAATTGCCTCTCACTGTTGTTTAGAGCTTATCCTGATAAATGTTACATAGGAATTATTTAATATTTAATACATGCTGAAAATGAAGTCAAAAATCTTTGGGTACATCTTGCAAACATAGAAGCAATAAAGGGTATCTCATAATAACTTATTGATGATATTTTTCATACTTTCTTGTTATAGTAGAGAGCTGAAACTTTCAGAAATGAAAGATCCTGATTGAATATATAGTTGATAATATTTTAGCTCTCTAAGTCAAGAAAACTATGAAAAATATCATTAACAATTGATCATCAGTTATTATAAGACACTTAGTATCAAAAACATATTTATTTTCTGCAAACATTGACGTTTTATCGCGATTCTCTTAGTGCCTAGTGAATTTTATTTTCAATGAAAATCTTTTCCTTATTAGCTGTTCGATCATTTTTTACTGTTCTCGTTTCAATTTTATTGACAGAATAAAAATATTTAGCAAGTTGGTTTTGTTATAAGAGAGGCTACTTTGTCTTTATGCATGTCAAGTCATTCTGGTCCTTTTCGAAACGTCCCTTTGGACCATCCTCGCTACCAACTCACTCTTTGGATATCATTTATCGTCTTCAAAATTGATAACTGAGATTTGCCAGTATCAATCATTCTTCATTTGTTTGACTCTCTTCACTCTATATGTTCACATTTTAGTTTACATTGGTATAAGAATCGTCAAGTGAATTAATGGATTTCATGATTAGAATATTGACATATGAAGATGAAATGAAAATGTTTCATTGTTGAATCTATATATTTCTATGTTTATAATAATGTTTCGATAAGATAGCAATGTGAGCAGATGGTGCAGTGGAATTCTCATTTACATGACATCGGTAAATTGGAACAGACACTGTGTTACGCCTAGGATGAAAGAGATACTAGAATTGAGCCCCAAAGTATCAGAGATGCTTGACAAAATTTTCCAAACATTCATCGAGTCCGTTCACTCATCTGAAACTTGTATCTTTAAGTGAAATTTTCATTCAACGTAATAAAAATTCATCTCATTGTGTACACAGAGAATGAGCATTTCATGGCGTAAATTTCTGCAAAACGCGTTAAATCGATCAGCATTTATGCGTTTTGCTACTACCAAAAAACTCACGCGAAACTCTTGTTTTAGTGTCAAATATAGTCCAATTCTGCTGTTCTATCAATTACTCATATAGAATTGTGATGGCTCAACATAGGTTGCAATAGATACTCGAAGTGAATGGTGTGGGTGTGGGGTGTGTGGGTGTTGGTGTAGGTCTGGGTCTGCGTAAAAAGAAGACTAACATCCACACCCACACCCCAAAGCAGCTAGAAGAAAGACATTACCTTATCAGAATAACCACTAATTTAACACGAATGAATAACCGTAAGGTATGTCATTAGTCGGCTTGGACTCAGCTGGCTAGATTTTTTTACTACTTGAGTTACAATGAGATCCGCTATTAAAGTTTTGCATAAACTATCAGTATATGGAATGTATTACAATAACAATTATGGATATAACAATGTTCATAATCTGTGTCGAGTATTTTGTAGGTGTGGGTGTGAGTGTGAATGACTAAAGGACTAATATCCACACTCATATCCAACCGACACTCCACACCCACACCCTTGATCACATCGCTCAGAAATTGAATCAAAACATTGATTTTTATTTAAATAATGGATTCTCTCTATTAAAAATTATAAAACTAAAAGTTAAAAAGCAACCTATATCTATCAATTGTAACATCGATAAATTTCATACATAAATCAGATATGAATATTTAAGAGACTTATTTCGAATATGAACGATAATTAGTCGGTGTTAAATGAATTGGTCTCAAGTAAACTTTTCTAACATTATTGAGTAAACAGACGTGTGTTAAGGGTGTGGGCAGCAGTGTCACATATCCAAAATTTTAGAGATGCATCCACGTCTAGCGCGGGAGATGCAGCATTTACTGCGAGAGATGTGAGTGTGGGTGCGGGGGATGTGCATCTCTAAAGGCGATGGTACATCTTCAGTGGAAAATGACCGCGTCTCCCGCGGGAGATGCGGCATCTCCTGCGAGAGATGTGGGCGCATCTCCAAAATGTTGGATATGTGACACTACTCCACTAACAGTCACACCCACGCCAGTGGCGGATCTAGGATTTTGCCAGAGTGAGGGGAGCTACTTTTTTGTGAAGCAGTAAGAAGTATAGGTCAGCGCGAATGGAATTATCTTTGTGAGGCTCCTATGTTGGTTAGAAAAAAAGTTAAATTACGTAGTAAGTTTTACGTGGGGTAATCGCTTTGAAACTTCAATCGCTGAACGGTTAGATCTGCCACTGACTCACACCCACACCTCACATCCACACCCACACTAACACCCAGACCCAAACTCACCCACAGGCACACCCACACCCCACAACCCATACTCACATCCTCAAAAAGACTTACCAGTGGTTCCGGGTTCTTTGTTCTTTTGTCCACCGGTAAAAAAAAATTATCATGAAGATCATTACTGCAATCAATTCAGCAATAAAGGCCACAATGCTGGCTATACTTACACATTTACACCAAAAATGACATGGCATTCTAAATGAATCCATGTATTCATATAAATAGCAAAGAAGATTTAAAGAGAAGTTTGT